CCTCCTTACATAACCTGCAAGCATCTCGAGTTACTGTTCTCTGTCCCTGGTCCTCAGGCCCCTAGCACTGAGTCATGAGTATGATGAGCTCTCTGACTTTATTTTCTTCCCATCCCCACTTTGCTCCCTCCGTTCCCACCTACTGATCCCCTTTGTTCACTGACGGTCCAGGCGCACTCTGGCTTTACGGCTTTCCCACTGGTTACTCCCTCTGCCTGTGACACTCGCTCTCCCAAAACCCAGTGCTCTCTCCTGTACTTCACCTTCCACGTGTAGCCGTCCTTGATGGTTTAATTCCTAATTGCAACCACCTGAAACCATCAGCACTCCCCTTCTTCCTTTCCTGCTTTCTAGTCCTCTCCTCCAGGCCACCAGTTGTACTGCTATTTTATCCATTAATTTAGAGGGTATTCCTGTGCATTTTTGTTCTGAAGCAAAGTTTCTTATTTTTTGTTTTTTCCAGTACCAAGGATTGAACTCAGGACCTTGCGCTTATGAGGCAGGCACAGCATCACTGAGCTAAATTCCTGGTCCAGAGTATTTCTGTGTTTATACTTATGTTAGTCTATTTGTGCATTTCTTTGTGTTTGCCTCCCATCCCCTTCCCCAACTAGAAGGTGTGGGCAATCATTTGTACCCTGCTCTAGTCCTTGAACACCACTGTCACACACAGACAACAACACACACCCAGGGTGTTGCACATTTTCTCCTGTATGGATTGATAGCATGGCCTTTTATTTTTCTACTCTTTTTATTTCTACTTCCGGGCCAATGCATTCTTTCATTTTATTGTCTGGTTCTTTTTTCTAACTTTCACATTTTTTCTTATATTTTAAATCCTTCGAGTAAAAATTTGCATGTAAAGCAATTTAGAAAACAAGTAAATTATTTCTTTCTTTCCTTGTTTTCTCTTTTCTTTTTGGTTGTTTGGCTTTGTTTTCTTGCAGTAATGGGGATTGAATCCAGGGACTTTCACTGAGCTACATGCCCGATCCCCTCCCTCTTTTGAGAAAAATCTTGCTAAATTCCCAAGACTGGCCTGTAAATGTCAGTGTCCTGCCTCAGCCTCCCTGCTGGGATTATAGATGTGCAGCACCACACTTTGCAACAATAATTTATTTTAACACAACTTGAATTTGAAGAACTACCTTAAAGTACTTTGTCTAATTATAATTACAGGCAAGTCATTGCCAAATTTGTTTCTGATAGACCCTTTGGCCATGCTCATTCCTGGCCCCTGGCGTGCACAGAATACCATGCGATGTTACTTAGTCTGGGCCGTATTAGTCAGAAGAAGTGTGTAATTTGTGACCAACAATCAATCTTAACAAGAAGATGGATAAGTCAGGTTTGACCTAGGAGAAATGAAAGTAGATGATGCTTTCCAAAATTCTTTTGTGTATGTGTGTGTGTACACATTTGTGTTGAAGAGAGAACAAATTCATCTTGGCTGTTTTCTTTCTGATTCAACCTAAAGGCTTTATTTTATTTTATCTCATTTTATTTGTAATAACAGTGTTATATTTGGTTTTCCATGCTCCCTGAGATATAAATTTCCTCTATGGAATAAGAAAAAGAACAACAAAATTTTTTACATCACTGGCTACTGCAGCAGTAATAAGTAGAACTGTTTGTATGATTGATATATATTTTTCTGTCTTTTTCTAATAAACACCTGATTCTTAGGAAGCCACACAAAGGATCATAGTTCCCAAGTTTACAAATTTTGTCAATTCAGGAAAGCCCTCATTCTCTAATAATTCTTTCTACTCTCTTCCCAGGGTTCTAATGAAATTCGTATTAAATGTCCTCAGTTTATTCTTCATATCTGTTCACTTTTCAAACAATATCCCAATATCTTTGCAGGCATTCCAGAAGTAGTTATCAATAAAAATTTTATAAATATGTCAATATTTTATTCAAGTACTGTCTATAATTAAAATCCTCAATAATAACAATGAGAATTTTGTGCTGGTCAACTGAGAAAGTGGCTCAATGGTACAGCATTTATTTCCCTAGCAGGCCATGAGGCCCTGAATTCATCCTCAGAACTGGGGAAATAAAGAAGATGGTGAAAAAGATACCATGTGAGAAATAACACATTGTTAGTTTTCTGCAGTACGGTGAAAGCCTGCAGAGAGAGAGAATCAGGACAGATATCACATTCTCTCTGAATGCAGTACAGTTCACCCATGCACTTGCTGAGAGACCTGTGGGCTGTTTGCACTTTGGGGTGGAGTCCTTTTTGGTAGCATCCCCTGCAGTCTCTGTGCTGTAAAAGGGTCTCAATGGCAGCCCCTGTGGTCCCTGCTGGCCACTCTCTTGTCTCTGGGCATAGGCAGGGAATCTCAGGGCTACGGGGCGAACAGGAGGCTTCCCGGGCCACAGTCCTTGTTGTGCTGGGGTCCCCCTTGCTGGTGCAGTCCAGGGCCTCGAATCTCCCGGTGGCAGAAGGGCTCATGGACACAGGAGGAGACTGTATTCTCTGGCTTCTATGTGACACCCTCTGCCCCCCTCCAGAAGTCTGGGAGACCTCAGCTCAGCGTAGAGCAGTGCGAGTGCCCCTGAGCTGCCTCTGTGCTGGTCTCAGGCTCAGGATGTGGGGTGTGGGTTGCCTGCTTACACTGAGTGGGCAGATCCAAGACGCCCTGCCACTGTGCTGCCCCTGCAGGCCTGGACCGCTGAGAGTAAGCCTCCTCTCACTTCTTTTCAGGCTTCTCCTTTGGTTCTCAGGCTTTGTTTCCAGAGTCTATCACTGTATGCATTTAGCTAGTTTTATTTTGTTGTTAATTAACACAGAATAATTGTACATTGTTTATGGGGTACATTGAAATATTCTGACATGTGTACACTGTGTAATGATCAAATCATATCATTTGCCCTAATTGTATGCACCAGGGAGGGAAAGTTGTCCATCATCTCCTCAAAGCATCTTCAACACACACAAGCCGCTGCCCTTTTCAGGTTTGGCAAATAAATTAATAGTGACACCCAGAGAACCTTTAGGGGGCCTCGGAGTGAAGGTCAACAGGCTGTTGCCAGCGTGACTCTCTCAACAACATTGGTATTCAGTGACTGCAGCAATTAGAAATAATGCCCCTCTATTTATAAGAACTCCTAGATAGATTCCCCTTCTTACATTAGCAGTAAGAATTAATTTCTTTTCAAGTGCCCTAGAGCAGATGTTTACTATCAGACTGGTCTTTCTGCCAACCACTAATGGTTCCTCTGTCCCTTTCTGACCCCTTGCTCCTCAACTCCCCAGTATTCAGGCCCTACTCCCAAACCATTCTTCAGTTTCTACATAACCTATCTAGGATTCACCGCTGGGAGCTTCTCCATATTCAAAGCACGTATTAGAGCAAGCAGGAACCAAATGGTTTTTTAAAAACGTACAAATTGGCCCATGACTATTTACACTACCCAGAGAAAGCCCCTCTGTTCACACAGCTGATCAAATACACCTGACACCATCCTACAGTCCCCATCCCCAGTTCCATTAGTAATGACCCATCGTGACTGCAAAGGGTCCAGGTGGGTCCAAATGAGAGGGCAGAAGGCAACACGGCAGCGGATATGCCCAGCTGCTAAACTAGATTCCCGTCAACTCAATTGTTCAGAACTTCAGACCACTGGCCATAAGAGCTTTCTGCCGGGACAAGTAGAATATACCACAACAGAGAGCTCACATGCAACTAAGGTGGATTTAAGAGTAGAACATGGCAGTGCACAGTGCGGGCTTCTGAAAGACAACACCGCACAGATACACTTGACAGCAAGGAAGCCAAGTGTCCAGGAGGCAGAAACAGACACTGCCACTCAAGCGTTTAATGAAAAAGGTGACAGATGGCGTTTCCTTAGGACAGTATCACAGCTGTCTTTCCAACCATCACATCAACTGTCTGGTCCAGAGACACAGTCCTTCTGTCCTAGGGGTCATCAGTTTCTCATTAGCCCCAGGGCCCGTAAGTCAAGTTCCTAGGGATTCCTCTTTCTCTTTCTCCAGCTGGGAATTTAAGGCAAGAAAGAAGGCAGGTAGTCAGGAAAGAGAACCTTCATCAGCCTTCCTCCTGGGGTACACATTCGATGACCCCTCCCTTGCTATGATCGAACAGAAGAAACACCTTTGACCTCATTTTTCCTATGTGGTTCTTCCTGGACCTCTCCCCTCTATGGGTGAGCACCAGTTTGGGGTGCTTCTGCCCAGCCCTAGGATTAATTGGGGTTCATTATCTGGTAAGGCTGCATGTGCATCACCAATAACAGCCAATAATGGTTTGTAGCCAGTGGCTGGTGGCTGCCATGTCAGAGCCTGGCAGTCTCTGATCAGCCATAAAGGCTGTTATATGCGCAAGTACACCTCATTCCCAAACTCAACCCACCAGCCTGATTTCAGCAAAAAATCCTAAAATCTCTAGATCACCCCCAATTTTGCTGCTTCTTAAATTTTTATTTCTTTATTTTTATAGTCCCTTGGTGGAGCTATCCTCAAATCACAGGGAGGAAAACTGAAACTAAGTGACCTACAACTAGTTACGGCAGAAATGAGCTCAAACCCAGTGTCAAGTTGCCCAGCCCTCCCACCTCACCCTCCGTAGCCCACGTTGATGGGAGATGTTGCCAATGGTCTTACACTATAGTTAGATGTGTTGTCATCTCCCTAGTGACATCATATGCTCTGCAAAGGCCATGACCTTTGCCGAGTTCCATGTCTGCTCACATATACATGTATACAGCACAACATCAGTCACACACTATATTTTTAATGACATCTGACATTCAAATCTGAACTTACCAAAATGTAAATAATGGGATGATTAGTCACATTACCCTGAGAGTTGGAAGAAATCACCATTGATTTCCTCTAATGCCTTCTTATCTGTTAGGACTCCAGGGCTACTTAACAGAGACATATGGCTACATCAAGGTGAACAGAAAGAAATCCACTGCACAGAGATGGGTGTCTCCTACACCACAGCCCAAAGGAAAATGGTACTCACCAAGTGAGGCATCAGGAGGTCGGCCAGGTAGACGAAAGCAGCCCCAAGTGTGAAGCCAACAGCCACTGGGATGAAGGCAAAAGCACCAAAGCCCCCTGAGGATGTGGCCATCTCAACTGCTGGGGCCAGGAGAGACCAATAAGAGGCTGCTAACATGACCTGCAAAACCAGTGAGCAACAAACCATTAGACAGCCCTGGGTCTTCTAAGCAGGGTCTTCTGTTGCTCTTGGGCCCAAACTAAACCCTATCAATTCACATATATCCAACCCACGATCCCAGGTATTAGGGAATAACTATCTCAACTGAGAAACCAACCCCAAAACTAGCGAAGTAACTATGTAAGAACCAAATTTGAGCAGGATAGTTGGCCTGAGAAGGATGGAGTCCAGGTTGCTGTCATCTACCCTCAAATTCAGTGGTTCTCAGTCAGAGGCAGTTTTGCACTCTAGGTTGTCACGGAGTGACCGTGTCTAGAGAGACCTTTTGTTGTCACATTGAAGGCAGGGTAGAGAAAGTTGCTACTGGCATCTAATGAGTAGAGGCCCAGGGTGCTGGTAAATATCCTACATGCGCAGCACAACCCCTGACAACAAAGAATTATCTGCCCCCAAATGTCAGCAATAATGTTGAGAAATCCTGTTCTAATTGAATACTTCCGAGACAAATTTCTGATTACTTCATAAGCACCACTGCAGAATAACACAGCGCTAATTACTACAGAATTCTTCCTTATGTTGAGCTGAAATCTGTCTCCCATTTTTATCTGCTAGCTCTCTTTCTGCTCTCTGGAGCACCAAATCATGTGCCTTTCCTCTGTGACACGTGACTCCCTTTGAAGTATTTGAAGACCACCAATAAGTCAATGTCAGACTGAGCTCATCAATTTTCTTATCTCTAAAAAGGAAGAGAGGAACTAACATTTACTGATCACCTACTCTTTCCAGAGATCAAGGTTTACATTTGATATCTTATCACAACAGCCTCAGGAGGCAGATATTGTTTTCTATTGCTATTTGTAGATAAAGAAGTGAAATTGGGAATAATAAGGCAATTTGCCCTTTTCACATAGGCAGTAAGTGGCAGGTCCAAGGAACTGACCAAGCAGGACCACAATCAAATCAATGAGGGGAGAAATGATGAAGAAGAGAAAAATGATGCAGGTCTCAAAATCTCCGCAAGTCACTTTGTTGAACAGTTTTCCAGCACTGACCAAATTAATCACTCATGGATGCTCAGTCTTACAGATGATGTGGCATCCTTCTTGGAGAGTGCACACCCACCACCCATCGTAAGTATATGACAGTCATCTCCAACATGGAAAATGTTGAATGGGTTTCTAAAAATCATTTAATCATGTCTTGTCTTTCAAAAACACCTGCATCACCCATCTCCAAAATAACATTCAGAGTGACAGAGTCAGGTATTACCACAGCAGCAGTAAAGAACAAATCTATACATAAATCCATGAGTTTCCTTCTGCCCTCCATCATGCACATGGAGCCACTTGCTCTGGGACAAATTCTCCTAGCAGAAATCTGAGTGTCACCCAGGCAAAAAGTCCACTTGCCTCTTAAACCCCAAGAAAGAATGAAAATGTCTCATCTAAACAGGATGGGAGCTGAGGCTACCCGGTCCAACTCCATGACCCAGGTTGCCACGAAAGGGCATCAGAGGAAGCCTGACAACTCCCCACCGCTACAACCCTACCCACCCTGCTTCCAAAACGTATCTCACTAGCTTTAGAATCCAATCGCCCTGGGCAGCTCTCCATTAATGAGAACCCATGTACAGGGAGAGATAAAGATGTCCTTTTTCCTCTTTTTAAACTTAAACTGTCTGCTAATCTCTCTTCTCTCTCCTATCTCCCCTCTCTCCCCTCTCTCCCCTCTCTCTCCCTCTCTACCTCTCTTCTTTCTCTCTCTCTCTCTCTCTCTCTCTCTCTCTCTCTCTCTCTCTCTCTCTCTGCAGATTTTAGGGCCTCCCATATAGTCCCATAGTCCTGAAGCCATATTGACCCAGAGAAAGCCATACCCTATCATGGAGAAAGGAGACCCAACATCCTTATCAGCATCACTTGAGATACTGCCACATTGTTCATCCTCTTCTCAACATCAAGCCCAACATTCATCAAAACTCCCTTCTATCTCTCTACATCACTGGATACCAATCTTTCTTCCTGTCCCTGTATGTGATAAACACATAAAGTTCTCACAGACAAGTCACTCGGTGGGGAGCTGAGAGGTGCGCCTCTCGAGGGTGGGTGTGTGGTAATCTGGGATGCTTGAATGAAAAAGCAGACCAGATGATGCAGGTGAGCCTCTTCCTTGGGAATCGCTGCTCCTTATCTTCAGTCAAATCTAGGGCTCAGTTGGGTTTCTTTCTTTTCTTTTCCTTGCCAGTCTCCCTGCCTCCCATATAACTGAAAAATGACCCAAGAGCAATCTGTAAATGGTACTGGATTGCAGGGGCATGTGTGGTAGATAAGATGACCAAGTCTTAATAACCCAAAACCTGGAAATATTTTACTTTACATGGTAAAAGGAAATCTGCAGCTGTGCTGAAATTGAGGACTCTGAGATAGGGAGATGACCCTGGATTGTCTGAGTGGGGCCAGTGTCATCCCAGATGTCCTTATGAGTGAATAAGAAGGCACAGAGTCAGAGGGAAGATGTGATGACAACCCACATCCATTCCATTTATATTAAGTATCCAGACTGGGTAAATCCATGGAGACAGAAAGCAAATGGGTGATTGATAGGGGATGCAGGAAGTGGAGAAAGGGGAATGACTGCTGGATAGGTACAGGGTCTCATTTGGGTGTGATGAAAATATTTGGAAGTAGATAAAGGTGATGAATGTTTACACATTACATCATGAATGTTTTACACACCACTGAATTATAAACTTTAAAATAGTTAACACGATGCTGTGAGTTGTACCTCAGTCTTTTTTAAAAAACTGAAGTTGGCTTTACCAATCATGAGGATTCTATCATGCACTACTGCCCCAAGCAGTGTGCTGAATTCTCCAGATCCCTCACCAGGGCCCCAGACCTCCACATGTGACAATGCCAAAATGCCAAGACCCATCTCAGGGGTCCTTCTCCCAAGCACCTTCAACCCTTTGACTGAGTCTGCATTTACAATGGGAAAATGCAGGATGTAAAATCAAGTCTGTCTGAATCTTGGCGCTGCCACTTATCAGTTAGGTACCCCAGCAAAAAGCCTGGGCTCTCCACAGCTCCGTTTGGACAACTGGAAATGATGCTACTGAACAGAGTTGTATGTATCAAGTGGCCAGACATAGTGCCACACGTGATTAACCTGTAATCAGCACTCTGGGAGGGTGATCCAGGAGGACTGCAAGTTCAGGCCCAGCCTGGGCAACTTAACAACTTAGCAAGACCTTGTCTCAAAATAAAAAGTGTTGGGGATGTAGCTCAATGTGAAGGACCTTGTACTGAAAAAAAAAATCACATAACATTGGGCACAGTGGAACAAGCCTTTAATCCAGCTACTCAGGAGGCTGAGGCAGGAGAACTGCAAGTTTGAGACCAGCTTGGTCAATTTAGCGAGACTTTGTCCAAAATTAAAAATTTTTAAAGATATGAGGATATAGATTAGTGGTAGATTGCGCCTAGTTTCAATCCCTAGCACTGTACAAAAAGAAAAGAAAAGAAAGAATATATCAGGCAATGCAGCTACCACCCCAACCCAGTAGCTGGAGAGAGGAGAAAATGAATCAGTGTTATTTTGCATTCTCACCCTGCCTGAGCTGCTTTCACTAAACATGCTCTTCTTTCACCCAATCTTGCTGGGCTTCCCTCCTCCACGGGGGGGCCCTTTTTCATCTCACTAGTTTCATTCTTGGAGTATGAACTTCCCAGACCTTGGTCACACCAGGATGAAAGGTGTGCTTTCAGCACAGCCTTGGACAGAGCAGTTGTTCAGTATCTGTTGCCTAAACAAATTCTCCATCATCCTTGCTAATGAAGGGGAGCAATGGGGGTGGAGAAGTCTGAATGAGTGATCAGGAAGTGATTCAACACTCACTTTTTAGCAAATGCCTAACTTCTAAAGTGGTTTTTACCTTCCAAATTGAGTGTGTTGCATGGCTTCACCCCTGTGCAAACACTGGTTGAGTAATTGTTTAAATGGAAAGCAGTCAATGTCGAATTGCCAAACTTTCCTGGGTAATCCACTGGATAGTCTACTGATCGAATCACAGGCTCATTTAGGGCTGAAAGGGACTTTAGGAAACTACATCGTCCAGACACTTCATTTAACAAATGGAAAAAGTGAGACCCACAGAGATTCAGTGGCTTTCCCAAGGTCCCAGAGGAAGCTGATGCCGTCCAAAGCGGACTGTGCCATCCCCAGACCAAATCAGCACCATCCTTTCCCCTACCTAGACTTCTTTTAAGAAATTCTGAAAGCTCTAGAGTTAAAGACCCAGCCCTTCCTTCATCAAAGAATCCCAGAACCAAAGTCTGGGATAAAGTTAAAATGATAACTGTCAAAAAGACAAAAGACAGCATTAGTGTTGGCAAGGATGTGATAAAAAGGGAACACTTGTACATTATTGATGGGGATGTTAATCTGTGCAGCCATTATGGAAAATAATTTCGAGGTTCCTCAAAACATTAAAAATAGAACTACCATATGATCCAACAATCCCACTAGGAGTGTATATCCAAAGGAAATAAAACCCATATGTTGAAAGATATCTGCATCTTCATGTTTATTACACCATTACTCACAATGTTGCCAAGTACTGAGGTGCTGTACACTTCCTAGGTTTCCTTTCCAAACTCTTGTTGTCCTGAACAAAGAATTGGACAGGAAACGGGGTAGCAAGGTGTTTTACATTTTTTAAAGGTAAAAGGAGGGAGAAAAGAAGGGAGAAGAAGTGCTCTGAAAAGAAGTACTCTAAAAAGAGGTGCTCTGCAGGGTGAGTGTGAGAAAAGAAACTATACCTTGTATGCAGAGCAGGCCACCGTGAAAGAAAACAGGCAGTGGTCACGAGGCCAATGGCCCCTGCTTTTTATATCTCCATTCTGATGTCAGATCTAGGCTGTCCTATGAAAACCCTGCTTGCATTCTCTGATTAGTATCAAGTGCAGGACTCAGAAGTTGTTCTGCGCATGAGTCTTGACTCT